AGCTCGAGAAAAGTTAGGATAATTAGGGTCTTCAGTACCTTGTGCAAGGCTCTTTTCTCAAGCTGGTCTTATTTTGAGTGAACGAAGAATGCGCTTAGATGATGAGAAAGCCAGAATGCTCATATTTCTAAACGCAAATCATAAAGTGTGATGTTCGTTGTATATATCTTCCTTTTAAGTATACATGCATATGTAAAGTATATATTTTAATATTTAATTGATTTTTTCAGATGTGCAAAAATTTCTCAAAAGTTCAAAGTCAACTTACTTTATTAATTTTATATAATATTTTTATAAAAGTATAGCTCATTCTATAACATAAACGATATAAATGAAAGTTTCAAATTTTGCACGAAATCCTCAAAATTGTTCAAATTTCAAAAAATGTCCACACAAATTTCAAACTTTTTAATCAGATTTTTTTACAAAATTTTCGAGTATTCAGTTTCGTAGCCCACTCTATTTCATAATGATAAAGAGGAAGATTCAGCCAACTAAAAATTCGGGTAGATTTTTGATAATTTTTTTTGCAGACTGTTGCGCATTTCCTTCCATACTAAAATAAATTCGAGCTCTTTATTATTAAAACAATGGGCTACAAAACTGAATACCCGAAAATTTTCAAAAAAAAATCTGACAAAAAAGTTGGAAGTTTTGGTGGATATTTTTTGAAATTTGAAAATTTGAGTTTATATTATAGAATGAGCTATACTTTTATTAACAAATATTAAAGAAAAAATAAACATAAGTGGCACTCGTATTACATTGAGTTGTGTTGCCAATAATAGTTGTGTTTAATGAGACCGAAAAAAGTTCAGAGCAGCTCAAGTTAGAGCAGAATTGAGCAGATGTCAAAAAAACAATAGAGCAAGTTAGAGCAACTCAGATCACAAATCTCATGAAACACTTTTCAGGCAGAAATTCTCAAAACGGTTGCTTGCTATAAGTTACTCCATCAAAAAAGTTGGTGCAGAAAATCGTGCTCTAAGTTGCTCTAGTTCCACCTAGCGCAGGCTCAGGAAAAAAACTAGAGTTAGTTAGAGAAAGAAAAATCCTCATGAAACACAATTTTGTGAGATATCTTAACCTGGCGTAACCTAGAGCAGCTCATTAAACACAACTAATATGTCCCATGATAAAAAATAGGAAGGTAAAACCGCTGAGAGGAAGTTTTCAAATTCTTGACGTTTGCAAGCAATTTAATTTTAAAATTCTACGCACAAACCCACAAACACATTCTCATTTTCAATCTCAAACAACAAAAACTTTGAACAATTCCTTTTTTTACTCTCAATTTTATATGATTTTAAAATGTTAGCAAGTTTCAAAAAAAAACATGGTCGTTCAAATGCACAATTTAATTTACATTCATTCAGGGTGTATTAAACAAGGTGGTGTTGGGGCGACAGCTGAGTTTTTCGCCGTGGAGGCCATTACGTCAAAATGATGTGTTTGTTGTAACTCATACCAATGACAGTATGGCCATCAGCGTATAATTTGTTAGTGTAATTTTTTACTTATATACGGCCAACACCACCTTGTTAAATACGCCTTGCATTCATTCAAACAAATTTGATTTCAGATTGAAAATACATTTCATTGCAAATAATTAAAAATTGCTACCATGGTAACCCAAAAAGAAAACATCTTGTTACTTTTTTCGTTTACAACTGGTTCTGAACTATAGAAGATGGGGTGCAAAAAGCGAACTAGAATTTAGGACTGGTTTTAAACTATAGAAAAGGTAATGCCGCGGGGGACAATTTCCAATTTCTATGACATCGCTGTGTTAAATTCACCAGTTGTTTGCATGCAAAAGAGATTTATCGCGAATTAGTAGTGGTTCTAAATGTACTAGAAGCGCACCTGTTCAAAACTAGAGATTTTCCCCACAGGGAATCAACATACTCAAGTACTCTGGAAAAGCGGAACAGTGTTTTATGCAGCAGACTGCTGTTGAGTAACATTGCTCAGTTCCTGAAATTTATGATGTTCTCTTTCTCTCTCTTTCTTTTTAAGTACTCTAAAATATATCGCACCCTAAATAAAAAACCGGCACAACTCAAAATTTGTCAAAATTTATTTTTTTCCATAAAACAGTTCACAGAACGTATACCCAACGTCCGCGAAAATTTCTTCTTCATCACTATCTTATTTAACTGGAAAAATACTACTAAAACTTCTTAGTTAGTCGATTGCGCAGCATCAACAGTTTTTTGCCTCTCCTGAACATTTAGGATTTTTTGAGTTGTGACGGTTTTTGATTTAGTGTGCGATATATTCTATTTACTCATGTACACATGTGAAGAGTATTTCAGGTGGTATATTTGCAGTGCTTTAGTACATACCCTGTAGGGAAAACACGAACTAGTGAACCAGATTTCTAGTTCAGTACTAGTTCTTTTTTTGCCAAAAACGAACCAGTTCGATAGTAACTAGTTTCGCACCAGTCCAAAATCAGTGAAATGTGGTGCTTTCACTAAACTATTCTATTTTAAATTTTAAAAGAAGGGAAGGTAATCATTATGAGTAAAATAATTTATGAATTATTATTGAGTTTTATTTTTTCGCTCAAACGGAAATAATTATTATTTGATTTTTATTTTTGGGATTACAAATAATGATTATTTTATGATTTTTATTTTTTCGCGCAGAGATTATCATTAATTTTCAGTTTTGTTTTTCCACTTAAAAATAATGATAATTTATAAAATTGAAAAGGTCATAAAGACGCAACCTACTGAAATTTTTACCTGAAAAGTTTGGGTCTTATTCCTTTTATATGGGTGCGGCTACCTCTCAAAAGGATACGTCGGTTATCACGCTGGTATAGTTTTTGAGTTGCTTAATAATCATTATACTTAGTGATTCCATAAACAAAGGCCAAGATCCTGAAGGACAATTGAGAAAGGCAATGCAGTTGCAGAAAAAGAGGCATTTAAAAAAAGTGTCAAAATAATTACCGCTTTCTCACTAAATTTATTTAAAAATGCAAGCCACCAGAGCTACCTTTCTTTTAAGAAAAGACAAATTAAGTTTCTTTATGCAATCCACCACAGCTACCTTAATACAGTCAGTCAATAAAGTTTAGGTACAACGAATTTTGTACAATACGGGCAACTATTTTTTTAATATTTTAGTTTTCGGTAATTTTTTATAAAAATATGTTCAATTCTACAACAAAATCGCCAAAAATCAGAGTTCCAAAACTTGTGCAAAATTTAAGAAAATTCTGCAAAATTTCATTAAAATAATTCACTTTCTATTTACGCTCTCTAGAAAAAGTTTTTAAGCCCATTCAATTTTAGTATAATGAAGTGCAAGTGTGAGGAAGCTGGGACTTACCAAACAACAAAAAAAAATTGCTAAATATCAATGGTAAGTCTTTGTTATTGTGGTAAGTCCCTTTGTTATACTAAAATTGAATGGGATACTAACTGAGTACTTAACTTTATTCTAAAGAGTGTAAATTGCAATACTTGGATGGAAATTTGCAGTTTTCTTTAATTTTGCATAAGGTTTGGAACTCTGATTTTTGGGGTTTTTTGGTGTAGAATTAACCATATTTTTATTAAAAATTAGGGAAAAATAAAATATTTAAAAAATAGTTGCCGGTATTGTAAAAACTTCACTGTACCTAAACTTTATTGACTGACTGTATATCTTATTTAAGTTAAGTACGACAAAAACTTTCGAAGTACTTCATATACATATAAGCTTAAAAGGAACTGAATTTACTTAAAAATCAATATGCTTAAATTTAGACAAGTAAGACAAAGGGAACTAATATTTTTACTTTTAAGCAGAACGCACTTTTGTTTTTTACATACTACTTAAGTTTAATACTACTACTACTACTAATTTGGTTTATAAATTTTTAATAAATGCGTTTAAACATTTGTGATGGTATTGTCCTTCCTTCAACCGATCGTATTTAATATAAAAGGGAAATGTTTCGACAAGCATCATTAGAAATGTAGATCTAAGGTGACGAATTTATAACAGGTTGGGAACTATAAAAAATGGATGCAGATCGAACTAGATATCATCTGTCGAATTAGGAACTTGTTTGGAACTAAAGAAAAGGGGATGCAGAACGAACTAGATCTCATCTGTCGAATTTGGAACTGGTTCGGAACTATAGAAAAAGGGATGCAAAACGAACTAGATCTTATCTGTCGAATTTAGAACTGGTTCGGAACTAGAGCCAAAGGGATGCAACGGGGGACAATTGACACTTCCTAGGACATCGCAATGTTAAATTCGCCAGTCGCTAGCATGCAAAAGAGAATTAACGCGGACTAGTCATGGTTCCAAACGCACTAGAACCGAACAAGTTCCGCACTAGTTCGTTTCCCTACAGGGTATATGATATATGGGGTATGGAAATATCCCTTTTCCCTAGCAGTTAACCTGTTAGTGTGGGCAACAATGGTGTTTTTCAAATAAGGCAGATCGGAATATGCACTCTCTGGGAAGAATATACCTTTAATTATTTTACCATGCTTTCCTATATTTTTATCATGTATGATATTATGAAAATGATGCGAAGCGAATTAATTCGCTTGGTGAATATTCAACACATAAATACATATGTAGGTGAACTGTATGGGCGAAATGTGAACGAGTTCACACGGAATGAAAGATCATAAGGCTGAATGTAACTATTACAAAATCACATGTTGAGAGAAACATAAAAAAAGTATTGCAGTATAAGCGATAACCCTTGGTGCGTTCTTTAAAATTTCAGCGCAGTTTGGCAGTACATCATACAAAGAAAGATCCCATTCAAGATTCATTTCTGGTTTGATCTTTCACTGCGGAGAACTGGTATAGTTATAGTTCATAACGAACTGGTATTACTTCCATTCTTAAGTAATTGTTCATGAACTGGAATTTGTGCATACTATTTAGTTAAGTTTTTTACTGCAGGGACAGCAGTAAGCAGACAGGCGAAAAATGCAGGCTTGATTTTGAATCTGCCTAACTTTTGCTTTTAATTAACCAGTCCGGTAATTTATAGTATTTTAATAATTTATTTTTAATATTTCAATTTATTTATGTACATACAAAATTCTTCCGTTTTACCACAAGCCTCCGCCGCTTTGATGCAAAACTGAAGATATAAAATATTGAAATAAATTAAATTACTGTAACTAAAAGTAAAACAGTTAGTTGATTGCTTCAAATACAACTCGCTATGGCCAACCAAACTGCCGAGTCTAACGTCTGATAATACTGAGCGCTTTCTCGAGGGTAAGCCCAAAGGGGAACGTGGTGATTTTTGGTGGTGGCGTTGCAGGCAATGTACAATAAGCAATCCAATGTAGCACTTGCAATGTAGCGCGTTGGTATGCGACTGAGCTGTTCCAACAGGTACGCAGACGGTTGCCTAGGGTAGCAGCTAAACACTTTTGCAAAGTTTCCACTTCTCGCGTAAGGCTGGTTACCTCCTTCCGCAAAGTGATCTCCACTTCTAAACAGCTTTCCAAAACTTGTGTTTTTCTGAAAATGTGAGTATTATTAGTATATTAGTTAGTACAGATTAACCTATGGCTACAAGATATTGAAAGTTAAGACCCTGACAGACATATGGTTTATATACCACACTAGCATTGTATACTAAATGTCTGTCGTTATAACCCAATAAACCAGGAGCCGAAAATAACAGTTTATTTATCGAAAGAAAGAAAGTTATCAATGTTCATTTGATCACAGGACCTCCTGGAAAATAATGCCGGATTCTTAATATTTTTCGAACTTTTTGGGAAGAAGTCCAATAATAACTGAAAAATCCGGTTTTTCGACGTAGAATACGTCTTACGTTTCGATATGGAGACTATACTCAAATGTTGCAGCTGTAATTTTCAGAGCTTCACGAAAACGCTCATTTCACGAGAACTAATGAAGCGATTTCAAAGAAACCTACCGACAGATTCATTTTTGTAAGTAACCAATTCGGTTTCTGTCGCAGAAACAACAGTAAATATTGTCTTATTTTTTGGAGATTTTGAGCCTTTAAAGTGCTCCAGCAACTTATGATTTGCAGTTATAACTTTCATTTTCGGGATATAGGTTCTTTGGAGCAATAGAAATATTATCGTGTACAAATTTTATATAAATTCAACGAATATTGAGCATTTAAAGGCAAGAAATTGTTGAAAAATTATCAAATTTTTTTTATTACAAAAATGCTCGAAAACCGCTCGAATGATTTTGTTATGGTTTTCTTCAATCAAAAACTCAGGTATTTTCCTTTAGTTTGGCATATGAAAAGTATTGGTTGATATCTTCTAAGCATGTTTATTTTATTCAAATATTGGCATACATGATTTCCCATACAAAATAACTTCGTCATAATTTTGCAAATATGTACGGCATGCGCTGGAAGTGAGAGAAGGACACAAAAAGTATGTGTGTGGAGGTATTTCGGCTTTTGAGTAACAGATGGCGCAATATTTATAACCTAATCGCAGCGTATGTATGGGGATGTTGCGAATGACTCGCATCATTTTACACATTCGCATTCGCATCATATGAGACGAATGTTTTGCGAATGCGAATGTGTACATGGGTAGAGCGCGCAGCTATTAGCTGCCAGCTAACGACCACTAAGCACACAATCGCAGCGTATCGCACATTAACGGTTAGTATAGTCGTAGAAAATAGAAATCAAATAAAACACCTCTTTGAGGTAAAATTTTCGAGTGACGAAAGCTGAACTAGAAACACAAAATTTATAATATGAATGTCGTGATGAAAATTATACGCATTTTTGTAACTGCTTTGGAAACGTACGGAAAATCTTTTTTATTCATACGAATCGTTGCAAAAGTTCTATTTTTTTATTTTGTGTTTCTAGCAGTAGACGGAATTTCGCAACGTTCCGAAACCTTCAGTCCACAGCAAAGAAATTGTTTACTCTTTCAATTCCTTAGAAGTACTTTCAAATGTAATGTTTTTTTTTTTGAATTCCATTACAAGGAATTTCATATCGTAATTGGAATGAATTAGGTGCTAGTAATGTATTTTGTTTTTCAATTCCTTTGATAGGAATTGAAAATGTAATTGATTTTTTTCCAATTCCAGTCCCTGGAATTGCAAGAGTACTTTAGTTTTTTCAATTACTCAAAAGGAATTGTAAAAGTAATTGAGAAACTGAAAGTTCATTGTGGTCAAAGATTAAAATCGAAACCACACATTGGACATCTTCTATCTATATCTATGTACATATATGTTGTATAAATAAAAATGTTGTGTTTGTTTGTACGAGGCCTTAAAACTTGAGAGCGGGTGAACCGATTTGAATATTTTTTTTTAGTTGTTCGGTATAATACCAGGATTTATGGTACAAAAGTTTGCAGGTTTGCCACCTGTTTGAAAATTTTAAACTCAAATTGATAAAATTAATGAAATATTGCAATGTGGGTATCAAACTAGAGAGTTTTAAGAAGGCTTACAGTCAAAAATATTTTCGAAGAGGGTTTCTACCTGTTTGCAAATTTAACTCAATTAAATTGACAAAATAAATGAAATATTACAGTATGAATACAAAACGAAAGGCATTTGAGAAATCTTGATTTGGAAATATTTTCAATAGGATTAACAACTATCTTAAAGTAATATTACGTTCTCATTGAGCCACAACTGGAGTTTACGGGCCATTTTGGAGTTTAACGCTAAACTCTACTCTTAAACTCGGAGTTTACCATACAAGAAAATCCGTTGAACTCTCCTTAAACACAACTTTTATCTGGAGTTTATGCGAGGGCAACCCTTTTTTTAACGAATTTGGTTTGTGTTTTTGATAATCCAAACCTGCAACCAACTCGCCGACAGTTAGTCTGTTGCCGTACTGCAGGATTTAATAAGAAACAGTCCAAGGTCGTGGGGGTCCACGAGTTTTCAGTGGGGCGCTCCATTTTGGGTAGCATTAAGGGTACCATAATATAAACAATTAAATCATTGCAATTTTATATATACGCAGGGATTAGTCCAAGAGAACAGCAGTGACCGAGGCAGCCACAGTTCGGACTGTTCTTCATCAAAAAGCTAGCATGAAAGTATTCGGGCGGGTTATGCCTGCTGGGACCTATACGGGTCTCATATGCAGCGAAGCGCGTTCGCGTAGGATCCTGAAAATTTAACGGTTACCCTATAAACTGAACAGCAACAGTTTAAGTTATTCAGCTTTCTTTAAGTCCAATCAGTAATACTACTTAGGTATAAGTTATTTATTCAAGGCGGTTAGGAACCAAGAAATTAAACAAAGAATTTGCAATTTAACAGTAAACAATTTTTTTAACAAATTTTTCGAGCACCTTTTAAATTACTTTGAGGAATGGAATTGGAAAAAAAATTTTTGAATTCCTTCGAATTGAATTGAAAAAAACCAATTACATTTTCAAAAAAAAACTTTTTTTCCATTCCTTTGAATTAAATTGAAAAAAAAAATCAATTACATTTTCAATTGCATTCAAAGGAATTAAAAAAAAATACATCACTAGCACGCAATTTAATCCATTTACAATATGAAATTCCTTGTAATGGAATTAAAAAAAAAAAAACAATTACATTTGAAATTACTTCCAAGGAATTGCGAAAATAAGCTGTGAACTGAAGGAATTGATTCATAATTACAATTACTGAGGAATGTAATTGCAATTGTAATGTAAATGCGGTGACAGGTAATAAGGTCAATGGAAATAAAGTCAATTGACTTTATTTCCCACCCTGGTGCGAAATAAAGTCAATGGACATTATTACCTTTTCAAAAGCGAAATAAAGTCAACAAAAATTTGGAAATAAAGTCATTGACGCTATTTCCTCATTCAAATGGAAATAGCGTCAACAATGCTTAAAGTATGTCGATTCATAGAAAAAAAATTTGTTCTTACAATAAACATTGCCCCGTAAGTGTTGTTTTTAACCGACTTCCAAAAAAGGAGGAGGTTATCAGTTCGTCGGAATATTTTTTTTTTTTTATGTATGTTACCGCATAACTTTGGACCACGTCAACCGATTTCGATAATTCTTTTTGCATCGGAAAGGTAGTGTCTCAGAGGCGGATCATGAGATAAATATATATATATATATATTTTTTATATGGGAGTTGAAGTCGGTTTTTTTTTTCTAAAAATTACTAGTTTATTATAAGCTTTTATTTAACTTGGTCATCCCGCGCAAATCGCGGAAATTTCCAATCGATTTTAAACTGACTTCCGACAAGTTAGAGACTTGAAATTTTCAGCATAGTTCCAATCACGATGACAATGCAATTTAAAATATAAATGAATTCCCCATATGGTCCAGGGGTCTTGATTCAAAGGCGGTCAAAAAATAGAAAGATTTATGGCTAACAGAGCGTAATTTGCCAAAGAACGTAAAACCACTATAAAATTGTTAAAGCTGTCGGCGATAGTGTAGCAAAGCTGCTTGTGGCAAATTCTGATATCAACCTAGTCTAGATATGAACCTCGTTGTAAGAATTAGAAGACTCCAGATGTCGCCCCGACAGAAGAAGTTAAATATTGCGCCTAAATGTATGTCATGCTACAACGGAAATGAACGACACGCCCTTTCTTTAAATAAAATTAACTGCTGCTATATGTTTCAAACCAAAATGTTTTAATTCTAGTTTCAAGGTTTCAAATATAGAA